TCTCAAACCATTGAATAATGGGTCATCAAATGCTGAAAATTCTCATTTTTTAAAAAACTCTACTTTGCAGTCACTATTTCTTTGTAAGATATTGCATTTCCGAATGTAAACTCATGCTTACTTTAATGCTGTGTATGTATGACTGTGTAAAATGTGTATGGCTGTTTGTCTTGTCTGTGTGTCTGTCTGTCAATAAATGGAGGAGGTAAGAGTAAATCGAGACCATTTCATCGCATTCCCTTCGCTCCGTTCTTCTTAAAGGACCAGTCACCAGAACGGAATCGTCACAATATCATTTTGAGTATTATTTCGCAGTGAAATCATTTGGAAACACAAGGCTTGAGGCTTGAGCTGGGCTGCGCCGCTGCTCCGCCTGCCTAGGCTGGAACCCCTCGGCCCGCGCGCGCGTGCGTTTGTTGCAGCCTCGTCTCACAATTAACCGCCGTCGTTCACGCTCCAGATCGTTTGGAGCCTATGGCTTCTCGCAGTAGCATGTGGCATGTAGCCCGAGGCCGAGGAGCCTACGGGGGAGGGGGGTCACTTTTTGGCAGGCATGAGACGAAGCATTTGAAGTGCGGGGGCGGGCGGGGGGGTCGAACCTGCTCTCTGCTGGTCCTTTCGAACGAGTGGGGGGACCAGTTCAGAGAGGAGAAGGAGGAGGACCTCCTGGGGATTTGCGGACGCTGTAACGGTCCGACGGGTCCTCCCATTGAACGCCATACATAAGCGATGCGGGTGGGGCAGGAGGGAGGGGGGGGGGCATAAGACACGCACACACTTTGCGCGATTCGAGCCGGGCGGCGGCAGCTCCACGGGGCAGCAGCAGCAATAGCTGCACTTACTGCGAATGGAATCCAGAGGTAGGTTATTGGTGTGCCCTCCCCCCTTCCCTCCGCCCCTGTTCCGCGCTAATCTAGGCCAATGTATCTTCCGCCGCCGGCCCGCTCCGGCGCTGCTCCCCGCGCCTTCGCCCCGGCCCTGTCACCGGCCGGCCGCGACCCTTGCGCTCGCGCGGCCCCTCGTGCCGTCCGGAGGCTGAGGAGGCTGACGTGAGACCCGGCAAAGACCAGTGGCTCGCGTGATAATTCGGCCCAATAAAAGGTACTCGGAGCCGCTCTGGTCGGGAGGGGGGCTGGATGTGGGTCAACACGCTCGGGGGAGGCGACGACGGGGAGACCAAAGCCGTCGTGTCGTCGGCTCCCACAAACGCTCATTGTCGTTGAATAAGACAGTCTATTAATGAGGTAATTAATTGGTGGGGCTTGCGACACCGCGCGCGCCAGCCGCTCAGCCGAGCTCAGCCCTGTGGGCGTTCACCCGCCGTCGTCGGCGTGGCTGGGCCAGGCTGCGCTCCCCCGCTGAGCACAGCCGCGTAGCGCAGCCTGCACCCGTGCACCAACCACGAGTGCAACGTGCGCTTTGCGGCTTGGGGAGAGGGAGAGCCTAAGAGCGAGGCCATCCCCTGGGCTGATCTGTCCTCTCCTGTTCGATAGGATGCTTTGTGGTGCGGCTTGCAACAACCACCCGCATCTCCGCGATGAAGTGGCACGCCTATGCCGGAGGGCGCGGGAAATTAACACTTTGCCCGCGATTCTAGCAGCAGCAGCAGCAGCGGTTTTGGTGTGGTGCGCGCCCGCAGCATTGCGGGGCGGGGCAGAGGACCTGGCCGGCAGGCACGCCCCCACCACAGTGATCCGGGCTGGCCCCGCCCCGCCCCACCTCACCGTCGCGTCACCGTGCTGGAGTCCTCCGGGGCTCCGGGGCCGGCTGCAGCCGCCAGTTCACCGCCCGCCTCCGACCGACGCCGGAGTCCGAACTCCACCCGCGCCCGTCCGCTCGCTCGCCCGCC